CTACAGACCAGAATTTGTCGGTCCTATTCTGCTAAACATTTCCAATTCCATTGTTTCTGTATATCATAAATGTGTAACACAAAAACAAAGTCAGCTAGTCTCTTGTAATTCTTTTTTTTTTTTTTTTCAGCTGAGCCAGGGCCAGGACTCGAACTGCTGTTGCTCAGAGCTCAAACTCTTGAGCGAGCTCTTAACCAACTGAGCCACTCAGCTGGCCCACACTCTTGTAATTCTTGACCAGTACAATTTTCCTATGTTAAATGATACACCTACAAAAAAATATTAGTTCAGCTTTGACAAATTCCTATATAAGTGGTATAATTTGAACTAGTATCTCCTGAAAAGAATATGAACAACAAAAGAAAGGATAATTCTACAGTTGAGTTAAGGTTATTTTAATTAGATTTTAGCATCTTGAGTTTTTTCAGGGGGGGAGGGGTTTGAAATTTGATTTGTTTTGCTTAGTATTAGAAATGCACATTTTAGGTTTTATTTGAATATTCTAGAAAAACAATAAAGCACAATATTTCTATTATGAAAACTGCACCAGAATAGAGAATGAGGTCTACTCTAACCATCCTATTTAAATTTGCAAACTGTCTCCATAAGTACAGATTCCCAGATCTTCATATTGCTGATTTTTTCCCTTCCTTGGCATTTTTATTGTCTAATAAATCAGATGATATACATGTCTAGTAAATTTGTTAATTATTGGTCTCTCTCCACTAGAATATAAGCTCTTTAAAGGCAGGAATTTCTTTGTTTTGTTCACTGACTTATCCCGAGCACCTAGAAGAACCTAGGACTATCAGGATTAATGAGGTAAAAATCTTTTGAATGAATAAATGCATAAGTAGTTAAGATGAGTAACCTACTGTAGATAGGTAGAAAATTCATTATCTCAAGGCACTTAGTTTTGAAGATAGATATTTAATATAACAGCAATACAAATACACTATGTAGGTGCCAAAGTGAAGTATAAACAAGTTCCACCATAGACCTTGTCCACAACGAGCATGAAACTTATCTCAGAAGACAACTGCTGAAGAATTAAATGACCCAATAGATGTCACAAAGCTTTTCATGATCAATTGCTGAGTGATGGTATAATTAGGAAGATATTACCCTGGGCTGAGAGAACTAAAAAGGCTTTCAGGACATTTCAGGTAAGGAAAACAACTTGAATGTTTTTGGTAGACGAGTACAAACAAGGTATGTTCATTGATGTGTTCATTTACTCTTTCAAAAAATTCTAATTAAGCCTCTACCATGTGCCAGACACGGGCTAGGTGCCAGAGATGCATAGAAGACAGTCTCTGCCCTCCAGAGTCTCATGATTTAGTGAAGGAGAAACATGTAAACAAAGTTAAAGCAAACTGCATTAGAAATATGTACAGCATCTTTGGAAAACAGAAAGATTACTTCACTCTGTTTGGGAAGGTCAAGGAAAGCTTGAAAGAGGTGACCCTTAAACTTAAACTTGAAGCCTGACCAGGAAGAATTCACCAAGTAGATCAGGGCACTCCATGCAAGAGAAATGAAAGTATAAAGGAACAGTGACAAGAAAGAATATGACTCTTCTAACACAGTAAGTAGTTCAGAACGGCAAAAATAAAGCATGCATGTAGCACTCAATGTTCAGGGATGGAAGGATAGGAAGTTGAGGCAGAGGATAAAAGATGGAGATGAAGCTGGAATGGAAAAAAAGGATCAGATTATGAAGGGCTTTGAATGCCATGCCTGAGAAGCTGAATTTACCTAGTAGATCAGAGTATCTTAAAGTATGGTCCACGGACCACTCGCATCAGAATCAAGTAGGGCAGGAATTTTCAAATTGTAGTTTGGGACCACTGGTCATAAAATTAATTTAGTGGGTTGGATAAGCATTTTCTTGAGAGAAAAAAAAAGAAATGGAATGGAATAGAGTATTGCACATAATAAGAGCGTTGGGTTTTTTTTTGTGTGCATGTGTTATGTATTGAGCAGAGATATAAATCTATTTCCTACTCTGAGTCACAGTCAAATAAGAAACATGGATCTAGGTGCTTGTTAAAATGCAGAGTTGCAGGCCCCCGGACCTACCAAATTGGTGGGATGGTAGCCTGGAATCCACTTTTTTAACAAGTACTACAGGGTTCCTATGCACATTCAAAACTGAGAACCACTGCTGAAGATTGTTTGGAGCCACTGAAGGGTGATAAGCAGAGTTCTGAAATGATTCACACTGGTTTCAGAAGGATCTTTTTGGGTGCAGAATGTATAAGCTGCTTGGAGGGAGAGCAAGAATAGAAACAGAAACACAAGTTTAGAGGCTACTGATAATGGTCCAGGCTAAAAATGGTGTACAGTCCTACACTGGTAGTGAGACAACTGGAGAAGTTGGACTGAGAGATGGTCAGGGCAGGTGAACAACACAGTTTTTCTGGAATAGTGAAGGGTTCAGGAAGAGCAGTGGAAAGCAAGGTATGAAAAATCGATTGGAGCTACATGTGGATGACTGAATTCAGGGCCATTTAGTTTTTCAACTGTTTAAAGAGTCATTGCAACTTTTTAAGCAAATATATGAAAGTACTGTTCCAAGATTATTCTAATGGGAGGAAAAACTACAACTCAAATTATGAAAGACGCTCCTCAACTAGGGAAATAGCAAAATGGCTAGGGGAAGGAATGGGTGTTAAATAAACAAACAACTAAACAACAACAGAAAACACAAATACTGTGAAGGGTCAACGGGCAGGATTGTTCCTTCCCCAAATTTGTATTCATCTCGACAACACAGGAGAGACAGGACCATGAGCCTGGGAGCCAGGCAGTATTCAAATCCAACACTTACCAGCTATAAGGCCTTTAGCAAATTACCTAAATTTTCCTCTGTGTTTTCATTTCCTTATTTATGAAATGGAGATAATAATAGTACCTACCTCATATGTTGCTATAAGAATTAAACAGAGTAAAATATGTAAAGCACTTATTATGTACTAGGAAATATTCTAAGTGCTATATGAGTATTTGTTATTCATATCATGCCTGGCTCTGGATTGGTAAAATAAACAACACCCCCTCCTCCTCCCCCAAGAAATTTCCTCTTGATTCCTGCATATTCCTTTTTTAATGCCTCTTCTACTAGAGTCAGGAATCTGGATTTGAATTCCAGCTCTGTACTTGCTATTGTACTTGCTACACAACTTGGGAAACACGCAAACCAAAGCTTTGGTTTTCTCCTCTATGAAGCAGTGTTGTTGTTAATGATAAATAAAATAGTGTACACGAAACACTTAAAATTTACTCCTTGACATACAAAAAGTACTTAATGGTAGCTATTATTTATAATCTCCTTGTTTCATACTACATTATCCCTGTTTTATACTGCATCTAGACTTAGATGGCCTCTTTAATTTAAAAGTTTGCCCTTTTAGTTTAGCAATGAATCAAAAATTTAAATGAGCATACTCCTGACCTAGAAATTCCTGAAAGTTTATCCTAAGGAAATAATCACACAAAAGTTCAAAGTATATATTCAATGGAGCTTTTTTTAATAAAATGAAAATATCCTAGTTGTTCATTAAGAGATGACTAGATAAACAGATTATGGTCTACCCAAACAATAGAATACTAGGTACTAACATGGAAAGATGTTTAAGATATAGTCCTAAGTGGAAAAAAAAAAGCAACAGTTGAATAGGAAATTAGCGTGATTTCATTTATATAAAAAATATGTGTGTAAATGGCTATACGTGTATAAAGGAAATTCTAGAAAAATATACATCAAACTTAACAGTAGTCTTCTCTGGAGAGTTAAGACTGAAAGGGAAGTTGAATGTCAACTATAATTTTAAAAAATAGTCATGGGGATATATAATACAGCATAGGGAATACAGTCAATAATATTCTAATAACTATGTAAAATGTCAGGTGGGTAATAGTCTTATTTAGATTATCACTTTGTGAGGTAGTATATAAATGTCTAATCACTATGTTGTTTTGTACACCTGAAACATAATAATTAAAAAAAAAGACTGAAAGGGAAGAAGGGAACTTTTACTTTCCTCATTATATTATTGGATTGTCGGAAAAGTAATGATGCATTTTTGCAACAAAAAACAAAGAAAAAATATGTCATGACTTTTCCGACAACCCAATAAATAACATGAAAAATAGAGACCTAGAGAAAAGAGATATAGACCTTATGGTTCATAAAAATACAGTACTTATCTATAAGCATATTCCTTAAATTATCATCATATCCCTTAAACTATTTTTATACATCCAGGAAAAATACAAACCTACAAAATAAGAATGTCTTAAATGTGGCAAAGAAATTTATTCTTTAGAAGTTTTATAGTTGTTCAATTCCTAAATTATGCATATTTCAGCAATTGCAGAAGACTTTACAAGGACTGTAGGATGTTAGCATTGAACTTGGTAGTCATTTATCTATTAAAACTATATTCAGTGCTTGTAACTGCCATTTGCTACAACAGACAGTGCCATCCCCAACAAAATCCACTAAATAGTAAATATCTATTCATATACACAAATATGACATGAAAATATTTTGTATAGCTTCTACTATTTCCATAGTTCTTCCACAATGGATTAAGTTTTTCTGTTGAATATGCCCTTGAGTTAAATGAACCTTATAACCACAGTGCCTGTTCAACATTCAGAAAGAGGCGTGTATATTGTCTGCTGGAGTAGCAAAAGGAAGGCCACTTTCGAAGATAGTCACAACATTTCTGAGAAGGTTTTCTTACAGAAAAGAATGACATTCTCCACTGATACAAGTAAGCCTTGTCTGCATGAGAATTTTTTTTTCATTACTGTGAAAGATTTTAAATATACCTGTACTTCATTCCTCAGATACAGGTATAAGTCAACAAGTAGAAAAGTGAACACAGAACTTAAGATAGTTTTTAAAACATAGGTTTAAGATACAAATAGAAATCACACAAATAAGTCAATATCCAAATAATAGAAATAATTATATCAAATATATTTACCTTTGAAAGGATTGATTCCTGCCTTTATTCTTGAAATAATAGCTTCTTTTACTTCTTTCTTCTTTACACATCGAATACCCAAGTTTTGAAAACTGGAACGAAAACACAGAACCTTCAAACTGCATTATAGTTAAACACAAGGACACATAAATGAGATTTTGTTAATGATTACTGCAAGTATCAAGTATATCCAGCATTGAAAAGTCATCCTACTGTCAGACAGAGAGAGTAAAGCATGAAATACATTTCCAATACCCAAATAGATGAAGAGTAATAGGAAAGTGACACCAAAAAGCTAAAAGTCACCTCCCAAGCAAAATCATTATCAAATCAATAAAAAATGTCTATTTGATAATGTAAAGCAAAAGTTGTAGTAAAAAGATGCCCACAGACTGAAGCCCACAGGTTTGTCTCTGTTTTTAAAAAACAGAGTCCATAAACTACCAACATTTAAAAATCAGGTAACTGCATATAAACGTCTGGATTTCTGGCTACTTGAACATTTAAAGGTCTGGCAACAGTAGGCTGGTAAAGAAACATCTGGCTGGAGCTGAGTACCTGTGGCCCCATTTATGTAAGGCTCTCCAGTTTGCTCTGGTGCCGGCTAGGCCTCTTATACTTGACCCACTCCATTCCACAGACATCTGATTTCTGAGCCCTTATCTCACTGCTAGTAGCAACGGAATATGTTTTATGCCCTATAATATGAAGTTATAATAATCCTTCATCATCATAGAGCACTGAAATGTTTTTTTAATTAGAAAGATGTTTGATACTAACAATAATATTTAACAAAAGTTTCAAAATGTCATTTATGGAAAACTTCTCAATAGCTACAATTATTACTAATTTGCATGTGTAGTACAGATGATGGTTGGGGGAACTCCCCTACCACCACTAGTCATACTTGTTCCCACATGGAAAAACCATGACATCATTAAAGCTGGGTGGGTGTGAATAAGGAAGCAAAACTGATTATAATAACATTACTATTTGTTCAAATTTCACAAGGCACTTTGTAACAGGAGGCTGCCTGCCTTGTATGCCCCTCTCCATGCTCATGCTGTTGTATGTTTACACTCTTCACATTCACACTTGTGATTTTGTTAGCACCTAAAATATCTTTGACATTTCCTTCCTCTGCCTCCAATAATTAAAAAATAAAATCTTGAATTTAAGATCCTTTCTTGAAACCCTGAAACCACAATCCTCTTCCTCAAAAGTATTCCACTTCTTTGAAAGATTCTTAGCTTGGTTCTCACTTTTTCTTTGACAAAAGATTTTAAAGAATCCTCCATTTTAATATATTTATACACTACCTAATTCTGTTTCATCTGTATCATCATATTTGACTGCTATTCATAGAATATTAGTAGTAGGGATTTTTGAAATTCTGACATGAGGAAACCAAGGATCAAAAGATTACTTCATTCATTCATAGTCATAAGTTTTGGTTCCTACCATGTACCAAAAACTCTGGAAAGTAATGGGGATATACAATCCTTCCCCTCATGGAGCTCACCATCTAGTGCAGGGAATGGCCAACTATATATCATCAATGGACCAAATATGGCCCATCATCTGTTTTTTTAAGCAAAATTTTATTGGAACACAGCTAAACTGATTTGTTTATGTACTGTCTACGAGTGGTTTCATGCTGCAACAGCAGAGCTGAGAAGTTGCAACAGAGACCATATGGTCTGAAAAGCCTAAAATATTTACTATCTGGCCCTTTACAGAAAAAAATTGCTAACCTTTTGTCTAATGAAGCAAATAAACATATTAAGTAATCACACACACACACACACACACACACACACACGCGCGCGCGCGTGCGCGCGTGCGCGCGCGCGCACGTGAAAATGCTAAACTGAAACCATGACAACTTTTATAAAGCAGATATTCATGATGTCACGGGAGCCTTATGATGGAAGAGAGTTGATCAATTCAGGGAGAGCAGACAGGTTTCTTGTAGGAAGTGATATTTACTATGAACAAAAATGAACTTCAGGAAGAGGAGAGTAAAGAGGCTTCAGGCAGAAGAACATGCAAAGGTCCCTACAGAAGAGCACAGTGAGCATAGGAAACTAAAGGAAGGCTTTTGTGACTGGAGTATAGAGTTCAAGGAGAACACAGAATAACAGATGGCTAAAAATACAAGTGGGTCATATGGGTTTTATAAGGAATGTTGTCCTTATTCCAAGAGTCACATAAAGCCATTAAAATGCATTAAGCCGGGATGTGACAATCCGATTTGTATTTGAAAAGATCACTCTGAGTAAATAATTAAATTTTTAAAAAGCCCACTTTGGCTAAAGTGGAAGTCTTATGGGGAGAAAGAGGCACAAAAAGAGTTGATGCAAGAAGACCAGTCAGAAAGCTGTTCTCGCAGCCCACAACTTAGACCTCCGCAGTAATAGTGTGGTAGTGATGGAGGTCACTTAGAAAAATGGATAGATTCAAGAATTATTTAGGAAGTACCTGGTAGTGAATTCAATGTGTGAGGCATGTCAAGCATGACACCTATGTTTGGGGCTTTTATAGCAACCATTAAGATACGGTGTATTGGAAGACCAAGTTTGAGAGGAAAGAGGTATGACCATGTAAGGTTATGGTTTGGGGCATATTCCATTTGCGATTCTTTTGAAATATTTAAAAGAATAGGTCAAAAAGGCAATCAGACTAAGTAAAATCCCCACTAGGGGATTCTAGAGATCCTTAGGAAAGATTTTTTATTTCAGGGCTGGAGCAAGAAAAGTACAAGTCTTGAACAATTTGTTGTGTCAGAAAGTAAATAAATGCTCAAAGAAAGATGAAGCATGTCAAAAGGACACAGGAAACAGTTTGAAGGGGCCTACACTGGTCAAATTTGGGTCAATTTGAAAATAAAAATAATAATGTGAACACTGAACATAAAAATCCATGGATCTATAGTGGTAATTTTTTTAACGGGGAAGGGTAAAGAGGGAAAGTTTTTCTTTACAAAGAATCCAATTAACATCACCAATGGAAAAAACTAGTATCACATGACTCCTGAAGGGATACTCTGAGAACAATACAGCATTGCCTCAGTAGATTTCTTGTCCAAAATGTTTCATGTTAACATGAAAATGTTATTCATGGTAACATGGATATAATCATGAGCAGCCATTCAGACTAATCCATATTGAACAACAATCTTCAAAACAAATAGCCTATACTCTTCGAAAATGTTAATGTTATGAAAGACCAAAAAAAGGCTGGGAAACTGTTCTAAATTAAAGGAGACTAAATAAGCATGACAACTAAATATAATGTGCAATCCTTAATGGAATCCTGGATTGGGGGGAGAGGCACGACAGCCATGAAGGGCACTATTGGGACATTATTGAACATGATTAAGGTAGTCTAAAAATTTAACTGCCTGTAACTAATATTGAGAAGGAACAGCCAGAAAGTAGAAAAAGAGAGGCGTTCTCATAGAAATAAAGGAATCAGAATGCTTCAAGAAAGGAGTGGTCTACAGTGTAAAATACTGTTGGAAGGTTAAGTAATATAAATAGGAAATACTTCTTGACAGGTTTTTATTACTAGATATTTTATGTTTTATGTTCTTATTGTAAGAGGAATATTTTAAAGTATATTTTCTAATTGGTTACTACTAATATATAAGGAGACTACTATTTTTTGTTGTTGTAATTAGTTTAATTTTTCCCCAAATGCAATACATGTTCATTACAAAAAATGAGTTATAAACACAAGTAAAAAAATAACCATGAAACCCCACAAATCTACTCACCTAGAGACAACACTATCAATACCATAATGTATGTATATAGTACCATGTGTATGTACATATTTTATTTTAAACAAAAAGATTATTGTTTTAAATATATTTTATTTATCTAATATATTGTGAATATCTTTCTATAGAAAGACATATTTGCACTGTTATATTTAAGGCTGCACAGGAGTACACTGCATGGATGTACCAGTTTATTTAACTAATCCCCCTTTGTTTATTGTTTGGATTGCTTCTAATTTTCTGCCATTACAAACAGAGCTGCAATGAATATCATCATAGCTAAGCATCTTAACATGCTTAAATAATTGTTTTCTGAGGTATAAATTCCTAGAAGTAGAATTGCTGGTTCAAAAGACATTGTTTTTTTTCAGACTTTTGCTATGTAGTTGTTAAAGTGCCTACCAGAAAGATTTCATTAAACTACTCTCACCTACATGATGAATGGACCCATCTGCTGGAAGTCTCACCAATAGTAAGTGTTACATACTTTTTAAAATTTTATAACTATTATTGTATGTTAATTTTATAACCTGCCCTTTTCTAAATAATAATTCCAGTTGATTTTCTTACATCTGGCAATTTTAAAGTTAACTATTAATGAAAAGATTAAGTAAAAATTTATAAAGAAAATCTTTCATAAGTTGTTCAAAAGAAAATCACAGCATAAAATAATTTATGGTTAGTTTAGGTAACAATAAAAAAAGTATTCCTGATACTACAAGCTATGTCTACTAACGGAGAATAAAAGGGTACTTCTAATGCAAATGTGAAGAAAATTTAAATGTACACTTATAGTAAATAGAATGAGAAATTAAGTATATTCTGCTAAAAAATATAACAGATGGGGCCAGCCAACTGGCGTGTTGGTTAGGAGTTGGCTTGAGACGCCAGCTCTGAGCAGCAGGGCCTCAGTTCTGATCCCACATGAGGGCCAGTGACGCTGCCCTCTACAGCTAAGATGGTGAACAACAGCTCAACCTGGAGCTGGGCTGCCCTGAGTCGCCAGCGACAGCGTAGGCTGCAGTGGGGCTGGCCGGCAGCTGGCGTAAGCTTTAGTGAGCTGCCGTAAGCTATCGTGAGTGGCCGTGAGCCTCTGTGAGCGGCCGTAAGTGGCTGTCCAATGGCCGGTGAGCGACTGCCTCAGCCAGGAAGAGCACAATGACAATACCAACATGGGCCAGTGAAGTGACGTCCTCCACCATTAGACTGAAGAACAAAAGGACAGCAACTTGTCTGTTCCCCTTCCCCGATTCCCCAACGCTGTTCCCCTCTCCCAATTCCCCAATAAAATCTTAAAAAAAAAATAAAATAACAGATGTACACAGTTAGGAAACAGAGCATCCTATGTTTATCCTATTCCTGAAGCTGTCTGTGACTGTATACTTACAATAAAGGCCTGCGTTCTTGTCCAAATTCTGCTTCGTAGTAGCCATCTCTGCAGTCTTTTCCTACTAAATCATGAGGATGAGGTTTATATGGGTCGTTCTTTGTTACTAATGTAATTCTCACTTTTCCTTTTCCATAATAGTTCATAATCTGAAAAGGGGGGGGAATTAAATAGATGATCCATAAATATTTTTTATGAAGAACTGATCTAAATTAGAGTTCAATTTATATAATGTAGTTATCACTGGGTAAATAAAGTCCTATTGTCTGGCCACTACAGTTTGGATGAAACTTTCCAAAGAATAACAGTAGGAAAGAATTTACCTTTCAGTTCCTTGGCATATGATTTTCTGCCCTAATTTCAATTGGTTATATCATCTGATTATGATTATTTTCCTTTTAAAAACAAGTAAAATTATACCAAAATGTTATCACAGAGAATGAGGAAATACTTAGATGTTAAGTCACTGAATGCCATGCTCTTAGATTCACTATTATACCATAAACATTCTTTCAAAGTATATATTTAAGCCATCCTGGAAATGACAGCACACCAATACATACCATCATTTTACTTAATATGTGACATTTCATTTCACAAAAATATGTTAATCAGTAAGCATATCCCAAGTGTTCACTGTATAATAGGCAATAAATCAAGTTGACTTTCAAAAAATTAAGTTGTCCCACAGTAAGTGTATCTAGAACACTGAGATTAAAGATTTAAGCATGGGAAAGAAAGGACATTCTGAGGATGAGGAGGAACTAATGTTTAGTTTGGAAGCTAATTTGCAAGCACAAAGTAGGGAATATAAAAAGCTGCGCAGGACAAGGGGGCAAGGTAGTTAAGTAAGACTGGGTAGCTTTACAGGTAAGAGGGCACTAAAATCCGTAATTTTGAATTTAAACTTAATTTGAACAGTAACCAGGAAGTATTTATTGCCTTTCTGAATAAAAAATAGGGTAACCATTTAAAACTGTAAGATAGGCTGATGTAGAGCTCAAGCTATAAAGTGTTTAGGACTTACTGGAATGGTAAGGCTACAGATTTTAGAAATATTTCAGAGAATGGACAGAATAAGCTGAATTATGGAGAACAGTTAAACATTGCTCTTAAAAGATTAGAAGAGTAGTGTTTTCTTATTTACCTTTTATTAGCATCTCTCTCATTTTAACATTTAAATAAAAGGGACTTAGATAACTCAAATCCATACTACTTTCCAAAAATGTGGTAAAAATTGGGAACCTGGGACTCAATAATTTGCCATTGTCTTATTTTATAATATTGCCTTATTCTATAATTTACTGCTTTATTCTGTAATTTAGCATTTTGTTTCAACTCCCTTAAATTCAATAAACTTTGTAAATAATCTAGTTATAAACCAGTGAATTAAGATCTGTTAATGAAAGATGAAATAACACTTTTCAAAACCCATTCTACCATTAAGGTTTTTAATTACATTTAGAGGATAAAAAAATTCATTAAAAATCAAATGAAATATAGTATGTAAATATAAAATATAAACATAGTATATTTTATAAATATTTAGTATATTACCAAAGTCATTTTGGATCAAAAACTACTTTCAAAGCTTAGGCTAACATGAAAAAACTATACTTAAAAAGTAACTATATTTCAAATCAGTCAATGCAATCGAGGATCTCAGGGGTAGGCAATAAAGGTAAAGAAAAAAGGAGGCAAAAATGTTCCTTCTCCTTTCCCATAGACCCTAGATTAGCCAAGTGATTATAAGAAGAATTCTAATTGAGCTCTCAGATCCATGTTTTTAATCTACAGAACAATTCTGCTCACTGCTTTAAGGACAGAATGCTTTTTCTTCGTTAACTCTGTGTTCCATGACAGGAATCATTACCTAAAAGCTGCCAATGTACACTAAGACCTGTGAATCACTCTTAGATTAACATACAAATAATGTATAACTATATGCAGGAATGAAAAATCCATACTATCGTTAGGAAATGTCCCTAGACATCTATCAGTTAAGAAGAAAAGACCACAGAAATGACTGTGAAAAAACTGGGTCTTTAATGTGACTGCTGCACATAAAATATTTAAGCAACTAACACAGAGGAGAAGAAAGGTCTATTACCTGGATAGATGGGTACGTTCGGTTGTTGTCTGTGCTGTGCTCCCCTGGAATGCTGCCTGCGGATCGCCCTTCACATTTATATCTAAAACGCATTCCCCTCTGCCTGGGTTGCTCAATTATCTCTATGTAGGGGTTATACCCACCTGAAATTATAAAAAAGGTGAGAGTGAGATTTGGATAGCAATAATAATGGATTTTAACCTTTTTTTTTTTTTTTCAAAACAGCAGACTAAAAGATTTTCCCTCCCAACATTAAATAGCAAGGTTGAAATGTAATTATCCAAGGTTGGGTAGTAAAGACACCTTTTTTTTCCCTATACCGAGCTCCTATACTGTGCTCCTATACCGTGTTAACACAAATCATCCAAATCATATTTATTGGTTAGCACTTTATCACTTAATATCAATAGCTAATACCAGTGTGAAGTTCTGAGAGCCACTTCAGAGATATCCACTTTTCATATGAGACCAAGCAAAGGGTCTCCCTCAAGATTCCCCAAGGAGGGTCAAGAAGAAAATCTTCAGAAGTACAGTATTATACTCCAAAAGTGAGTTTAACTGCTTGATTTTAAATTAGACTCTTAACAGTGGACTAAAAGGCTACTCATTGAAAGTGGAAATGCACTTAAATCCTTGCAGAAGGATATATAAAATTTTTATATCTCCATTGGAATGTTAATGGATTTATATATAGTACATCAAACCAAGTTCCAGATGGGACTTAAGGCTCAACAAACTTTTCAGTGAGTCCCATCTAAACCTTTTCTAAAGTATAAGACACAACAGAGGGAAAGAAAATAATTATTTACTTTCTATAACAAATACAATTCAAAATATGCACCTTTAGAATGAACTACCGACACACACAACATGGATGAATCTCAAAATAATTATGCTGGGTGAAAGATGCCAGACCAAAAGAGCACATACTGTATGAATCGTTATATATAAAACTCTAGAATATGTACACTAATCTCTAATGAAAGAAAGCAGGTCACTGGTTGCCTACGAACATGGGTGTGAAGTGGATGGGGAAACTCTGGGGGATGAGAGATGTTAATTATCTTGATTGTGGTGATGATTTCAAGGTTGTATACATGTCAAAACTTATCAAGTTGCATACTTTAAACACGTGCAATTCACTGTACATTATTATATGTCAATAAAGCTGTCTAAAACATATACACTTTTACCCCTTCTTATCCAAATCATGCAAACAAAAGTTCAATAAAGACACTCAAGTGTGCTTATAAATAGGGTGCTTAGCAATGTCTTTATTTCAGGGATGTGAAGATAACTTTCTTCGAAAAAAATCTCCCTCAATCAGTTTAGTGATTTCTAAATTGCCACAAGTGATTTCTAAATTGCCACAATTAAATACCCATTTTTTTTACTATAGGCTTATCCTGATAGAATGAATGCAAACAAATTTTCAGAAAGGGTAACACAGTGGGTCTTATCAGTGCAGCATGGGAAAGAGGCCTTTTGAATTCTACACAGCCAAATCTGAACAATGAAAACATTTGAAACGTTATTAAATCTCTGCTTCTATAAAATGGGGATAATAATAACAGTATTACGTCATTGGGTTGTACAATGGATTATAAGTAATGTGTTTTTACCAAATATCATGCATGTGATAAATAATACATCATGTTTATTATTTCAGAAGCTTTTTGGAAAACAGTGATTTACAGTGATACCATGATGGTATTACAACTGCTCTTTCAAGAATTTTACAGAACAGTGAGGCAAACAGTACAAATTATTAGAGTATAAAAGAGATGGACATTGACCTTGGATTTACAGACTCATGTCTTTTATCAATTTTCAGAAGTTTTTGCTCATTATTTCTTAAAATATTCTTTCTGCCCCTTTCTCTCTCTCTCCTTCTGCAATTTCTATAATGCATATGTTGGTCCTTTTGAAGGTGTCCACAGGTTCCTTAGGCTCTGTTCACTTTTTTTTTTTTAAATTGGAGAACAGAGTGTTTTTCCAGGAACTGTCAGCTCCAACTCAAGTAGTTGTTTCTTTTTTTTTTCTTCTTTTTATTGTTATTTAACCAGCCCAATTTTCAAAAAAAAAATTTATCCTGAGTATGATTATGTTCATCTTCTACTGAAAATTATATAACAAATTTATAACTAATTTGAGTTGTTAAAAATACATAAGTTCTGCTTCTACTCTCTTACTTCTTATCTTGTACCTGGTAACTAAGTGATTAATTCAAATCATAATTAAATATTTTCTTTTCATTCTAACTTAAGGTTCAAGCATCCATAATTTTTCTTAAAGAACCAGTATTTTTTCCTTAAACAGCACATTTTTGTTCTCAAAAAAAAAAAAAAGAGATGGACAAAATTTTGTTTATGTTAACAAAATTCTACATACAATGATAATAAAAGTAAAAGAGTCAGGAATACCTAACTATAAATCAAAGAAAAAAAAGAGGTTGTGCTCACTTCAGCAGCACATATACTAAAATTGGAACGATAGAGAAAATTAGCATGGCCTCTGCACAAGGATGACACACAAATTCGTGAAGCGTTCCATATTTAAAAAAAAAAAAGAGGTAATGAAACAAAAGGGTGGGGAGGGAGGAAGGAGAGGGGAGACATGGGCATTCTAGGGAAAGGGAACAGTGAGTGACCAAAGGTGTAGCAATATAGACACTAATAGCCCCAATGGAAGAGAAGAGTTTAAGAATCATCAATATAGCCCCCAGTGGAAGTGAAGTACATTTCCACCCTTAGAAAGAGAGCCAAAGACCAGAGTACATTTGAGAATTTGGATTTCATTCTATGAGTCACAGAGAATCAAGAAATGGTCATATGCAGGAGAATCAATCACATGATCAGGTTGGAATTTTAGAGTAAGAACTCTGGTGGCAATGGACAGATTGAAAAGAGAAAGTAAGGTGATCAGTTTAGAGGCTGTTACAACACTGTGAGTAATGATCAGGGTATTTGGAAATATGGTAGCAATAATAGGAATGAATGACTATTTAAAAGATAAAATGACAGTACTTGGTGATTGACTTAGGGTTAAGAGAAAGAATCATTGATGGCTCCATAGTTTCTATTTTGGGTTACTGAGTAAAGAATTACTGCTACCTTTAATTTTATTCTGTTTGGTTCAGATTCCTTGTGATTCAATCTACTACTTATTTATTCAAAAGACAAAGACCAGTAAAAACTGACTTTAATCAAGTTAATAATACTCATTTCAATTTTACTGAAAACCTAAGACATGCAGATGAGTATTTCATAACTTCACATCCTTATATATCCTTGGATATTTCAAATAATTCAAATTCACATTTCAGTTTCAAATATGTCACATGCTTATACATCCTTGTAGGAATATTTAAAAGAAAGTACATTTTCTTCTCAATAGCTCAAAACACTCCACAGTACTTTTTAAGTAATATCTTAAATCATTTATGTGGTTGAACTAAAGGTCAAATAAATCCCTGCCCACTACTTTTTTAAAGGTGTCTTGGTGGGAAGTTGATATAGAATGACATCATTAATGGTAAGTGGCTAACTTTTGGGGGAGGAGTGAGTGTGAATAAAAGTGCTAGGCTCATAGTGAGAATTCAAATAATTTCATTGGTTACACAACACTTCCTTAAACTAGAAAGTGTGTTTATGAAAAAAGTCTTTAGACAAAAGAACAGAAAAACAGTTGTTGAAAGATTAAATAAGATATTTTGAAAGACTTTTAAATTATAAAAATGTAAATATTAATTATACAACATCAAGTACTTTTAAAACCCTTGAAATCTGTTCTTTCTATTGTAGAAGCTCTTTTTTGGTAAAAAGTCTTACTAACAACCAAGTAACAGAGTTTATGTAATAGTCTACATTCCCCCAGCTAGAAATAATCTTCCCCCTCCTCTAAACTACTATAGCATTTTGTTTATGGCACTTATTCCGAATAACTAAAATTTAGGGAAAACTCACTCTTCTTAAAAAAAAGTTACTTGTGTTATTTCTTCAAGCAACTTGAAGGCAGGAATTGTTCTGCTCATCAGTGCCTTGCACACAAATATTCAGTAAATATCTGCTGAACAAATGACTAAAAATCTAAAGACTGTTTTATTTGTTTAAGATGCAAACAATGAAGAAATACATTCATGATTAATCAGATTTTCCTTATCAGATTCCACCACTACGGAAAAAAAACAATGCTTTGTAGGTACTAGAACTGCTACATCTTCATATTCCTCATACACATCCATATTCTGATTCCTTTATCCATATTTATGTTTTTTAAAAACTTCACAGCAATAAATCATTTATATCATGTATCAGTACAATGTCCCAGTTACTTCCTTCCTTAGTGCTGTTTTGAAGTACAATTCTTCCTGAAGATAAAAAGTGCTGAAATGTAGTCATCTATGGAGTGGAAGAAGGTACAATATAAATCAGGGACTTGTAGGAAAAATGAGTACTCTTAACTAAGACTGTCTTAAATCACTACAGTTTGAAAAGCATTGAAAAGTCTCCAAAATTGATTCTAAACAACTTAATTACTACACTTTTCTTTAATACTATGCAAAGCTGGATTGTTCCCTACCTTTTGAACAGTATTGTAAAAAGCCAATTCAGACCAGAGCAACATTTGAAATATAGCCAAAACATTTGCAAGATATATTTGTATTTATTTGTACTTACACGAAAAAGTACTATTTTAAAACACAGAGCCTATGTAACAAAGTATGAGTTTTTAAGAAAAAAATAAGAAATTACATGGAAATAAAAGTTAAAAATGAATCAATTGTCAGAAATAGACACATTATAAACTAAAACCTTCTAGCTAGAATTGGGAACCAGCATTAATTATAAAGTAAAAAAAAATGTTAATTAGAGTATAACACTGTTTTAAAGCACTTTATCATTTCTCATTTGATCCTCTTAACTTTAATCTTCATAAAAACAGAACAGGAATTATTATCCCACTTTACAGATGATAACACTAAAGTTCAAAATTATATGAAGTTATAAGTAAAAAAAATTACGAATGACATTAGCAAATATGACAGCTGCGGTCCCACGGTGTCAATTCAAACAACAACAAGTGCAAAAGCAACTGGGGGTAAAGTCACAATAACATACAGCAAATAACCTAAAATAAATGCAACTTAGTTTAAGAAGATACGCATCTTGGCATAGGCAAGTAAGTATTTAGATCCAATGAAATTCCTGGAACAGACAGAGTTCCTACTGCGGTTGTATATCAGAATCACCTAGGTAGTTTTTTCAAAACATACATTGCCTGACCCCACCTGAAATCTGCTGCATAGAAACAGAAATCTTTTATCTAAAGCACAGACATGTTTCTGAAAAAGCCTTCCATGCAATTCTAATCACTCCTGATTAAGAACGATTGTCCTAAAACATAAAGAAGTGGAAACAATGATGCACAAATCTAGAGAAGCAATCCAAAAATTCACATACAAGTATGGGCTGCGTGATGGATAAACTCTAAGCAGAGGAATTCTGACTACTTTTTCTCTCCCACTCTAAAGAGCTTATCCAAATGCAAGCAAGGGGGGCAAACAATTACTATAGGGATAACCTTGAAACACTCTGATTTATTTAAAAAGTAAATTGTTTGCAAAATTAATATTTTTAATATCATCAAAACCAATTCTTAAAATACAGCACACAAATGATTATAACAGGCCAATGTGTCAATACCACAGTTGAGAATGAGTAGAGACTGCATCTCCCTCACAGAACTTGATAACAGACTACCTAAGACCCAAAGGAGCAAAAGCTGCTAATACATACTTTTCCAAATATCACCTCTACTCACTTTGGAGAAAAAAGAAAATAAGATCTATTCTTTCCTTAAACCTAGGAAACCAACTGAATCATGGTGATGATCTTCTTTACCTTAAGACACAGATGAGTTTTTCTATTTTTTCTTAATTATGATAAAAATTTATAGTTATTGCTTCTTACATAGCTAGAATTGCATGTAATTAACAAAGGGGCAAAGAAAATTTAAACCTATTCCCATAAGGATGGAAAAAGGCAAACACAAAAGGTACAAAAGAAATCAAATGGAGGATACGTTACATCAGTCAAGTTAGCAAAAGGACATATGGTTTATCTACTAAGCAATTTTTTTATTTACTTTTTTTTCAGAATGTTTACTATCATTTAAGTAAGTGGACAAAGGAGAAAAAAATAACTGCATCTAAATATCACCATCAAATTCTATTCCACTATTTGAAATATACACAAAACCGTTACAAATTGTTTAAAAGTAAATGGGCATTCTTTTCTTATATATTCTTGAAAATTTTATTTTCTTTCTAGCATCTGATCTAGTCTATTCATATAGGCTTTAGGGTTTTGTAAAATTCTAGAATCATCAGGGTATTTAAATAGTAAGTGCCAAGTGATTCTAGTAGTTCCTGTTTCCTAGATGTTTGAGTCCCGAAAGTATTCCACTACAAGAGAAAACTAACATAGACATGCATTATAGCATTTGTTCCTCACAAGACACTGCAGTAGTCCCATTTTTATATCACTGGGTGGCAGAACTAGAATAAAAACAAACCCAGGTCCATCATGGGATTTTAAAGTCCAGGTTTATTCCAATATATCAAGTCTGACTCTAAACTGGGTCTTAAAAATCAAGTAAGGGAATTTTCAGATGAGTATTTGGCTGATGTATACAGTCACATACATACATCACAAGGTAGTAAATAAAAGATGTGAAAGATTTTGGCAACAGAAATTCTACTGCTAAAGATTCCATTGCTGTGGGGGTAAAAAAAAAAAAAGAAAAAAAAAGTGCTGAAAAATTTTAACTTCCAGGGTGAAAAAGAAGAGAAATATTTAAAATCTGTCCTGGATTTTTCAGATATTTAACTAAATTAAATATAGATGGCAGGGCCAAATCATCTGTCTTAATTAAGATTGCCAGATTTAAAAATAAATATTACAGGATGCCCATTTAAATATGAATTAAACAATTTTTTTTAGTACATCTCATGAAACTATTTGGGTCATGTGCCTACAAACACAATCACTTGCAGAGAACCCAGATGAGAGAAAGATGGAACAAAAGGAAATGCTGAGTCCCTTAAATTGTATTTGAGAGCCTACACACACCACAGGTGTTCCCAATTATGAATCATCATCTGATTCCTCACTAGTGATTTCATTCACTCCCTTCACTCTATCATATATCACCTTGAATCCTTTATACCACTGTTATATTTACATTTTCATGTATTGCATTTCCGAAACAGCCTTCATGTTTACATGTGTAGTCTTTTACTTAAAAAAAGAAGTCATTTGCTTTAGCTATCAATTCCAGCTTCCAGCTCTATCATTAAAGATTGAAGTTGCATTATACTTACATTCACTTTTCCCCCCCTTACTCAAGGGAAATAGAATAGTTCTCTTGAAATTCATACTGGAGACAAAGAGTTGGTAAGTAGTGTGTGGTTTATAAAAACAATTTCTTCGTTGTACTTCCTACTATCTGACAAAGCAGAACTATACTAAAGAAAGCTAGGAATAAAAATTACCTAAATTTTAAAACATATTTTACCAAAGACATTACTATGTATTAGTAAATAGAGCTATGTGCACACAAGAACATTTTACACTTTTTACTGGAACAATGAGAAGCTTTAAATTCAGATATAAAAGAGCTAATTTTACTTAAAATATACAAGAGAAATGACTGCTTAACTATGCATACCCTAGATGGGTCTCGGGTACATTTGTCTTCACAATGCCTATTTTAAGTAATCATGTCAAAAGACTGAAATCAAGGTGTAATTTTTAAAAAGCAATAAAGACAGCTTAATAGAACCTAAACTGTGAAATCCTAAATAATCTGATAATTTACCTGAACAAAATTTAGAATTATATATATATATATATCAAAGTCCCAGTTACTCATGGTACTTATAAATTTGCTTATGAGATTATAATGTTACTTTTTACGTTATACAGATCACATATTCAACTACGCACACCTATTTACATATGACATCCGGGGAGAAATGAAGAAATGGTCTTAAAATCTTGGTAATCAATAAAAATACTTTTTGAGGTTTTAATACTACCTTACTACAAACTGAATCTAAACTAGATAATGATAAACTAATTTAGCACATTTTTTTGCTGTGATTCTTTCAGTTAAATTACTGTTTCAAAACACGATGGGGGTTGATAATTTAGTGACTCTTCCTCTAAGCGGTCTTTAAAACTAATTAAGGAAAGTACACCCAGACTTCTTTTTAAAAATTTGCTTAGCAGTTTTCAAACAACTGAATTATAATTTAAATAACATGTTATGATTACAACTTTCCATTCCTTAATTTTCCCCCCTTCAATTTAGGGAATCAGTCCTCACAACAGCACAAAAATATAGTGTCATTAAACAAGTTTAAATTGTATCACATTTTTAAATGATGTACGGCTTACAATACTCTATATAAATGGTTCTTTTCTCTCTTTTGAAAGAATTGGAAGTATTACATTCATTCCATATATTAATAAAGTTTGCTTAAATTGCCAGCAGGCTGGTCTTTTTTTTTTTTAACTTATAATATTCGCTATTCTGTACTACTTTCATACAAAATCTCTTTCTGATAACTAATAAATTAACCAAATATTTCAAGTCAACTTTGCACTTTTAATCTAAACGGGCTTTGAATTTATGAATTATCTGAAAGTTTGGGGGTCACTGAAGTGGGTAAAGAGAAAGTTGAAATATTTTAAACTCCACTAGTATATTCACATGAAAACCACAGACAAACTGAAATCAAATGTCGTGTGAACTACCCCAATTTCCTTTTCAGCCTACAGCAGTAGCTATGGCATTGTTCTGCTCAACCCCTTTAAAACGTCCTCTAAGCTTTCTACTTCCTCTTCTCTGCCAGACATCAACCCTCTGCTGAGGGTCACTGTACCAGGGATTTGGGAGGATACGGGTTAAGCATAAATAAGCTCCCCCCTTCAACCTCTCAGTACAGGTTAAGGAGTAACTTGTAAGCCTCCCTGCCTTTGCTCACGCTGCTCCCTCTGCCGGGAAAGCGCCCCGAGGAACCTGACCAGAATCCTGTAAAGGTCCAACTCGAACGCAGTCTACTTGACTTACTTCCCTTCGGTTACAGGCTGACCTAAACCATGGCTGTACATATGAGACTCACCCGCTTTCCTCTAAACTGTTTCTTGGTAAACTCATTTCCCCCAAAAGCAAGAGATTCACTCATTTATTAACTGAAAATAAATATTTACACAAGTGATAGGAAGTTCTTTTAATCCCTACCCATATTTTGATGCACAGGTATTCTAAAAATCCTCTTTTCCCCTTCTTTCCAACAAAGGAGAGAAAAAAAACAAACCACCCAAACCAAAGCAACACGACTTCTGCTCCGTAAACTAGAACGTATGCACTGTACAGTAAAAACTATCCACTGTCTTAAAGCAACATTTCCACTTAAAGACCTGTTAAAACACCACCGGTGACTTTTAAAGCCACACATTTTGTACAACCGTCTTGGCACTTGATGAAATTAAACCAAAAAACTCAGAGCTTCTCAGAGGTCTGAAGGTTCCTCATTCCTGTTGTAAAACATAAAACCACCATTTCAATATAACTCAATTTTTAAAATACACGAACCCTTAGTCCTCCATTTAGATTCTCATTACTTCCCTAATCCTAAAACCAAATTGTTGGGAATTTCTAAGGTTCCGGCTATTATTAATGACATCAAATTACAGAGCGTGACTTTGATTTCGTACGCAAACCCTGAACCACCTTTACTTTTTACAAGATTGACAATTTGCCAAATGAGGCGATTTTAAAGAGAGAACGCGCCACAATCAAAACTGAGCCCCCGAAACTGAGCAGCAATACCCCGGGACGAGCTCCGGGTTCCCCCCAGCCTGGGCACAGCCCGTGGCGCCGGGAACACTCACCCGAAGCCATGACTCCGCTCACTGCGCCGCCCAGCTCCGCTCCGCTCCGCGCGTCTGGACCGGAGACCGCCGCTGTCAGTCAGCCCGCCAGTCAGTCCTCTGCCGGCGGGACCCCTTGGCCCCCTGACCACCGTCGGGGCCTCCTCCTCCTTCCCGCCCTCCTTTGGTTTGCGGCTCACACCTTCCCACCTCCTTAATTCTCGCGCTCCGTATCACCCGGCGTCGCCCGTCCAGGGTGCGGGAGCCAAGGGCAGGGGGCGTAGCGCGACGAGAGCCCAGCGCCTCCGGGCCAGAGAGACCCGCGCCTGGCGGGAGGGGGATTTCCCGCAGCTGACGTCGGCTCCTCACCGCCGCCTTCTCCGGGGGCGGAGGG